TAATTTAATCCTAATTTTATTAGGTTAAATTATAGTAAAAGCTTCTTAAAATTTAGAAATTAAATTATATTTAGGGTTAGATAACTATTTTATATGTAATTTTTAAATATTTAAATATATTTCTCTCATTTTTAATTATTCTGAAAATTAGTGGATTAATTTTTTAATTATCCACTTTTTTTTTCCATAAATTTTTAAAACATGGGTACATTTTGTCTTTTCTTGAATATAAATTAGGTCGAAAATTTAATTTACGAAATTTCAAAATTACAAAAAAAAAAAAAAAAGACAACCAAATATTAAAAATATAATAGTTAAAATGATATTTTAGCCTATATTATTTTACCAGGGTAATAAATTATTTTCTAAGGGTAAATTTACCAAATTACCCCTCAAAATATTGTGGTAATTTCAGGTAGGAGTATATGCCAGCAAAATTAGAGTCGCATTTCCCACTAATTTAGAGACAGAACAGAGTTGATCCCATTAAAGCCCACTCTTTCTCTCTCTACTTTCTCTCTCTTCTGCAATCTGAAAAACCTATCTTCTTCTTCATCCAATGCCTTCAATCTTACTGTTTCTAAACCAAATCAAGCAACAAATCCTTCTTACAGGTTCCCCATGGCCGCTGTTCACCGGTGAGATTCTCTGTTTTCATGGATTCTGACCGCCATTTTCGTACTACTCGCAGCAATAGTTCTAGTTCCGCCGCCGCCGCCGCAGGCTCTAGCGAGCTCTTCATCTGCTTCACTTCTCGCTTCTCATCTTCTTCTTCTGCCATGAAGATCTCTTCCAAGTGCCTTCTCAGCCCTGGCCGCGCCCGTGAAGGCCAAATCACCCTCTCTACTTCACTCAGCCGCCGTCTCAAATCCAGTGGCAGCCTCAAGGTCGGTCAGGCCTCGCCTGCGTTTCCTACCGGTGGGAAGAAGCGAGGATGCGCATTCGATAATCCGGAGCCGTCGTCGCCGAAGGTCACTTGTATTGGACAGGTTAGGGTTAAGACCAAGAAGCAGGGAAGGAAGATGAGGGCTAGATCGCTGAAGCGGAGGACTAATTCGGAGGCGAGTTTTCGGAAATCGGAGAGTGTTGTTCAATCGTCGCAGATGAATGGTAATGATCAGCAATTCGTTGCGAATCAATCGTCGCATCATAATCTTCTTCGTCAGGACAGTATGAGTAATGGCGGAAACGGTTTCCAGCAGGAGCGGCATTCGCACCGGAATCAGCGGTGGGTGCATTTGCCGTTCACAATTTGCGAGGCGCTTAGGGCTTTTGGTGCAGAACTCAACTGTTTCTTGCCGTGCCATTCGTCGTGTTCCAGCGATAGGGAAAGTAACAAGGAATCGAAGGCGGCGGGGAGGTCGGAGGAGGAGACCGAGAGTTCCTGCGGGAAAGTGTTTGCGCGGTGGTTGGTGGCGGTACAAGACAGAGACGGGAAGGGGAGGAAGATCGAACTAGTAGTCGGAGACGAAGAACCTCAAACGGAGAAGGAAAATGGAAGCCAGAGACGGCATATTTTCGACGGAATGAATTTCAAAGACGAAAATGAAGTCGTTGAGAAAGACGAATCGAGGATCAGCATTTGCATTCCGCCGAAGAACGCTTTGCTGCTAATGAGGTGCAGATCTGATCCGGTGAAGGTGGCGGAGCTCGCGAAACGATTCTGTGAACCTCCTACGCCAAAACTGGAAGAACATGACAAGGAAGAACTAGACGAAGATCATGAAGAGAAGAAAACTACACAAAATGAAGCGAAAAGAGATGAATCTGTGCCTGTAAGTAAGGAAGACGACGAAGAAGAAAGAACAGTGAAGCTAAATCTGAAGCTTGAAAGCGAGGAAGAAATCAGTGAAGAATCTGTTTCCGATACTGAAAGAGGAGAAGAATCCACAGAAATGGCCGCAGAAAACGAAATCGACGAGCAGAAATCAAACATTTCTATGATAAATCATCAGAGTCAAGAAGAAACAGTGGAAGACAGAATCGATCAAGAAAATCAGCAAGAAACAATGGCGATCTCAAGAACAATTCCAATTCCGATTCAGAGCCACTGTGAATCTGAATTTGCTCAAGATGCAGAGAACCTGGAATCAGCCGAAGAAGACGAATCTAAGCGCGAACAAGACAACAGAACAGAGCAGAGAGAAGCATTTGAAGAAGACGAAAATGGCGAAAATGGCGAAAACCCTACTTCGGCGTCATTATCATTTGAGACAGAACCAGTTTTAGACGAAACCGGAACTGAATTTGATGAGAATTGGGAAGAAGTAACAGAGACGACGATTAAAGAGAAAGCGACGGATGAAGGAATCAGATCCGACACCCAAAACGACGACGAAATGATGGGTCCAGAGGCGGAGGACCAGTCAAAGGAGCGAGAAACTCCGCCGCCGGAGCCGGAGAGAAAAACACAAACAGAATCACCTGTTCTTCCGGATTGCTTGCTATTAATGATGTACGAGCCAAAGCTATCAATGGAGGTATCGAAGGAGACGTGGGTCTGCAGCAGGGACTTCATAAGGTGCGTTCCAACGAGGGAGAAGAAGCCAGCCGGTCGAAACCCGCCGCCGCCACCGCCACCGAAGAAGCGGGAGAAGAAGCCGGCGGACAACACGCAGACGGCGGTGATCCAACCGGCGAGGTGGTCGTGTTCGTTTCCAGCGGCGGCGGCTGCGGCAACAATGATTGAACAGAAGAAGCTAGTGAGGGCCAAGGGTTACGAGCCGTTTGTTCTTACGAGGTGCAAGTCGGAGCCGATGAGGTCATCTTCTAAGCTGGCGCCGGACGCTTGCTTTTGGAAGGACCGCAAGCTTGAGCCACATCGCCCAGCTACCTTCGGCATCGGCGCGGCTGAAGTTGGATTTTGACCATTTCACCCCTCAGTAAAAAAAAAAAAAAAGATAGAAAAAGAATAGGAATGTGTACAAATTGTGGTAAGAAATTTGTAACTTTGGCTAATTTTGGCTACTTTAGTTGATTTTGAATAATTTTTTAAAATAATTTAAATTTAAAAATAATAAGTTAACTATATATATATATATATATATATATATATATATATATATCTTCATTAATTATAATAATGTATGTAGGTGACCTTTAATATTTAATATATTTGATTTTTTTATATAAAATTAGAAATAAATTATGCCTATAAAATATCATTTACATTGGAAAAGATTCCAAAAGTTTTCAAACTAACCCTAACCCTTTTTCCGTGTTGCTTTGCTTTTGTCATTGTTTGTACATTTTTTAAAAGCAATGAATTGTTTTTTTTTTTT